AAATGTCCTCTGACCAGGATTTCCTACTTTCCAGTTCTCTCTTTACTCAAAGAATTGAACAAAAACCATTGAAGTGTTCATTTCATATTTGCATGGAAGTCCCTTGACCTTTGGAAAATTATACTTTGGCAGCGCTCAGAGTTGAGCCTATGTTACGGCACAGAAGAGGGAAGAACGAAGTAGAGGAACAAATGCTGTCTCCTGAGGTTAAAAGAGTCTGGGGTGAGCGTCTCCCAGGCTGGGACTGTGCATACCTGAGGGAAGTCTCACAGGAACTGCCCTAAGCCTTCTCCCTCAGAAGGAGCTCATCCTGCCCTTGTGATGCTGATGGACTCATCTGGTGAAACCCCCAGGAATCCCATTCACCTCTTGGGATTTTCTACCCCTTGTGACAGGCGAAGGAAGGTTTCCAGTGTGTCGCAAGGAGCTTTCCCCCTAGCCTCCATATCATTGAAAACCTATCAAAATGTGCCATGTGTATAGGAGGAAAGCCCAGTATTGGGAAACAAGACACTTTCTAGATCCATCCTTCTTGTGTTTCTGTCTGATTTATCACAGGATATTTGGTGAGTAGCAGAGACTACTAAGAGAAGAACTCCATGCGCTTCTGAGACCTGTACCATGGACAGGACCTGAGCGTGCTCAGAGCCCCTGCCTCCCTCTCTGTGTCTTGTCTGATTTGGAGTCTCCCAGCTAGGCTACCTCTATGCTAATACCACGAATGTGCTTGGTGGCAACTGTGGTTGTTACTCCTTGCCCCCTCCCTTTAGGTAGGTGCCTGACTAATCAGTCCCCAGAACCAGGAGCAGACAGATCTGCGTGCAAGGACGGATCCTTCTTTACCAGTGGCTTGGCTGAGTCCCTTCCAGGCAAATGACTAAACCACCAAAAATGAGCTTCCCTGAAAAACCATCAAGGAGGTTGCTGATCATAATTCATTTCTATTGGTTCTTATCAGCCTTGTGTCCCCCGTTCAGTCAGTTTTATTAGATTCCTTCTCAGGAAGCATCTAATTGCCCCTTTTTTTGTGTATAATTGACTCTTTTTTTTTTTTTTAAGAAGGTATATAGGGTCTCCTGGGTGGCTCAGTCAGTTAAGCGTCTACCTTCAGCTCAAGTCATGATCCCAGGGTCTTAGGATTGAGTCCCGCATCCGGCTCCCTGCTCAGTAGGGAGCCTGCTTCTCCCTCTGCCTGCCATTCCCCCTGCTTGTGCTCTCTCCCTCTCGCACACACACACACAAATAAATAAAATCTTAAAAAAAAAAAAAAAGAAGGTATATAAAGTATGCATGCAGCTGGGCCTGGGGAACTCATTCTAATCACTTGGACCCCTATTTTTTTTTATTCAGACTGATCAGGGCTAGTTGATGCCCCCAGTTTCTTAATGGCTGACTGGTTTTTTCCTTTTGTGCAGTATAGATCTGAATAATCAGCCAGAAATGAGACTTGCACAGGGAAGTGGTATCTTGTACCTTGTGGGTGGTTCTCTTTTCTCCCTCCACTTGCTGGAAACCTCACCCGAAAATCCTACCCTTGTTTTTTAAGCCTACCTGCAGGTCACATACTAAGAGCCACCTCCAGAATGTTTCACAAGCATCTGGCTAATATGTGTGGGGACTGGTGGCCAAGTTTAGGGTATGACCAAACACTGGGGCTTCCTGAGGAGCCACAGGGGCCCGAGTATGAAGGCTCAATGGTGGACTCGTGCATGTCCCTCCTCTGAATGGCTGTGGACAAACACCGAGAAAGAGTGGGGGCCCTTGGCTCTGGCCTTGTAGAAGAGCCTGAGCACAGAGTTGCATACCCCAGCACCCAGACCAGAGATGAGATTTTATTACGACTTCGGCTGAGGAAGCCTGGCCATTTCAGAAGCTGGCTCTTTTCTTCTTCTTCTCTAGAAAAAGGGATCTCAAGGGAGAAGAGTTTTCTGTGAATCCTCAGGAAAGAGCACTGGTGCCTCTATATGTTTTTGAAGGTAGAGACATAATCAAAGAAAGAAAACAACCCACAAGGTACAAGAGACCACTTTCCTACCCTATTATTTTGCTTCTACTATTTCCTTTTAATAACAAATCCTTCTTACCACTGGGGGTGCCTATTTGGGGTCAGGTCTGGGTTATGTACTCTCCAGTCCAGGGGGAGTTCCAGTCCCCTGCTTTTCCTCCATTGGGCACCCTCTGCCTTGGTTTTGACTTCTTCACTGCTGACTAGCCCACCTGAGGAACGCAAGCAGCCAGAGATGCATTTAACCAGTTTGGGGATATCAAGGAAAGAGTGATGGAAGATTTCAGTAAGTCATCTGAAGCAAAGTTATTCATGCCATTCCTGTGCACACAGGAAGTGAAGACTGTATTATTTGAAAAAAAATAACAGGTGTGGGAGTCGCCTAATGAAGAACCACAATGTGAAGTGAAAAAGATCACTAAAATGTGTCCAGGAAGTTACTCGAAGAAATCCTCCAGAAAAAAAAAAAAAAAATCATCGTAGAGGATTTAGTTGTTCAACTGGTCACTCAGACCAAGCTTCCCAGGTCCTTTCCACAAGTGATGTTTTAATAATGCCTTTGTGAGCCAAAAACCATGGTCCACAGGGAGATTTCAGAGGTAATTAGCGGCTGACGGTTACCAGATATTATGCAGTGAAGCGAAGCGTCTGACTTCTCAGGAACTTTCTGGGAAAGCAATGTCGATAGAAAACAAAGGGTGTGCCTCTGGGGCCCTCCCGAGTCTGTCATCCTTTCATGCCACGTGAATCTGAAAAACAAAAATCCCTGACATCACCATTGGTTCCGGGACTCCTCTCACTTTCCTGGTTCTGTCGGTGGCTCTTTGGGAGAGAAGGAGCCCGGCGCTGCCCCCTGGCTTAGAGAGGGCTGGGTCTCGGCACTTGGGCTGGTGGGCAGGTTTTCTCAGGACCAGATGCTTCATCGTGGGGGGCTGTCCTGTGCACTGTCGCGGGCTTAGCAGCACCCCCTGGCTGCCACCAGCAACCCTCCCCCAAGTCGTAACCATTGAAAATGTCCACAGACATTGCTAGTTTCCCTGGGGAGGGCACCCCAGTGGAGAACCAGGAATCCGAGTGGAGGGCAAGGCAGCTGGAGCCCAGACTGAGAGAGAGAATTGCCTAAGCCGATAGCTACTGCCATCTCTCCTTTCTCTTTCTTTCTTTCTGTCCTCCAAGTCTTTTCACTGGGCTCAAAAAAGGACATAGCCACACATGCCTCCAAAAAAAGATGAGTTGATGAAGTGCAAATGAATCTCCAGGAGAGAGGTATTTTGAAACTGGGAAAGTACTGTTCCTTTGGCTAGCATTTTTGAGCAAGCACGTACTCATCGATACGAGAAGGCATTTAACACTTGATTAGTCACCAGGTGTGTTATTTCATTTCATCTCTTTTAAATTCCCTGAATGGTTATTAACACCTCCTGCATCTCTCGGATGAGGAAGCCTGAGGCTCAGAGAGAGGCGACAATTTGTTCAAGATCACGCAGCTCAAGGGGCTGCTGCCCTGGGGCACCCTTCAAGGTTGTGCTGGCTGACACTGTTAGCGTGCAAGGCGTCCCCGCAGCTGCACAACTCACGCAGCCCCAAGAAGGCAGGTCTGTCTGAACGCAGAGGACCCTTTCCGCTCTATCCTCCACGTACAGTGCTAGCACCACTCTGGAGAGCCCCACGCTTGTAAATAACATTTCGCTCTATCCAAATGGGAGGTCCCCACGTCTCCTAACCTTGGTGAGCCGGTCTCACATGCCACAAAGCTCAGTAGGATACACTTAGCATGGACAGGAGAAGGGCCCTTAGACCTGCAAACGGTGATGCTGGGGATGCCAAGGGTCCTAAAGCAGGAGTGAGCTAAGCTCTTGGTGGAAGAGGCTGGATCTTAATGGTCACAACTGTGTTGTAGAAGAGGAAACCCCTCTCCATATGGGTGGACCAGTTTCTTAACCGTTTAGGAATTGGTTCCAATTTGCAGGGCCAGGTTCAAGATGAAAATGAGGGGTTCCTTGTTCAAAAATGATTAAGCTACTTGAGATGGCAACAACAGAGCACTAAACTGAGCCCTGGGGCCCTTCTGGGCGTGGGGGTCAGTGTGTGAGGCTCACATCGTGGGATCCTGAGGCTGGCCCTGCCGGGTAGACACAGCCCCAGGAACATTCTGCTCACGAATGTCCACTAGCTCTTCCTTCCCTTTGATGCCTTTCCTGCAGCTTCTGATGTTCCCACAGCATTTCCTTAATCTCAAGGTGTTCTGTTTAGAAACAAGGTTATTCCTTGAAAACAAAAGAGCATTCCCAAACTGAAACACCCAAGCTCTCTGAATATCAGGATAAACATATTCGGAGAATACAATTCCTTCCTTTCCTCAGGAGGAGTGTGCAGGAAGCAACTTTGTGCTTTGACCTGAGGTTCAGCTAATGCACGTAACAGGGAGAAAGTTGGAAAGCTGAGAAAGTAGTATGCTTGCATCAAAAAGGAAGACAACCACTTGGGTTTGGAACACAGCACAAGGACAAGGAGAGAAGCCTGATGAGCTGCAGGGATCTGGGATGGGGGTGGTGGTGGAAAGGGCGGGATTGAGCCAGAGAGACTGAAGGGAGGATTGTAAGAAGTTTTGTTCTGTGGTTGTTAATTGGATCCTCTCGACACTTGAATTTTAACACTCTTTAATAAAGACTTGAATTGCATTTCTGGTGGGTTTTGGTTATAGGGCATTTTAAATGCAGCTGTGCTAAGATTGGACCCCATGAGGTCCCTGGTCAACAGGTGTTATATTTAAAAGCATCATAAGCCCCTCTCGGTCTAGATGGTAAATTAGTTGCACAGGACAGAAAGAAACTCCGTCTGTAAAATGGCAAATAGACACCTCCAATCCAGATTATGTGATAAGTACGTTTGGTGGTTGATGGTTCCAATTGGTATAAAAAGGCCAGATTTGACATGTATTACTATTTACTTAGCAATCACAGAAATGTCTAATGGAAATACTGCTCTCAACTAGGTTGAAAGAAGTCTCAAAAACAACTAACTCCAAAGGACAACGTTCATGGTAGCCACCTTGCGCAAGGATGATGATTAGAGAAGACGTGGTGAGTGTGGCTGAATTACTGTATGAATAGATGACTAAGCCAGAATGAGTGCGGGTCCCACAGTACTCAGAAAACCAAGAAAATGAATGGCAACATGCTGTCCTTTCACCACTGAGGAAATGTTGCCCACCACCCCCAACAAACATGCGCAGAAAGCAGCAGCTTTTCGGTTAACGCCAGTGTGTTTGCTTATCCATTTCAGAGGTTTGAGCAGGTGATGGGAGCTAGAGCTCTGGATTGGACTTGAGATAAAAGTTGATATTTCTCAGTATTATTGAACAAAGAATGTTAGGGCTAAATGTAAGCATAAGGCAGTAAGAATGGAACCTAAGTCCAGTTTTAAATTTTTTATGGTATTTCACAACTAAGAGTGTAAGTTGTATTCATGACCTCATCTACTGTTTTAACTCAATATAAAATATAGAACAAGGGTTGGCAAACATATGAAAGTATAACTTCAGAAAGAGAGAGAGAAGAAAGGAAAGGAAGGGAAGAAAGGGAAAGAGAGAAGGGAAGGAAGGAATGGAGGGGAGAGGGAGGGAGGGAGGGAGGAAGAAAGAAAGGCAAGAGAAAGAGACGTAGAGAGTCAGATTTAGAATCATCCTCCAAATAAAGATATTTGGGGTATTTATTGCTGGTCTGGTAAATTTCCCAAAGATGGGAACCATGCAATTTACATATCTTATATCCCCAGTTAGTATATTGATTGGACATGGCACATAGGTAGGTTTTACTCCCCACGAAGAGCAGTGAAGTTGGAGTCAGAAGTTCTAGTTCCAACACATCTGTTGATCGTTTCTGAGTGGCAATGTGTCTCTGGTGGTTAAGAGCTCCAGAGCCGGATACGCTGGGTTCACATCCCGGCTGCACACCTTACTAGCATTGTTAGTAAGCGTGTCGCAGCCCCTCTGTGCCTCAGCTTCCTCATCTGTAAAATGGTCTATACGTCGTTATAAAGATCAAATGAGTTATTGCCTGTAATGCACTTAGTACAGGACCTGGCACAAAAGTAAATGCTCAGTAAATGTTCGCACTAATTATTGAAAAAAAAATGTGGCTTCAGTTGAAAACACTAGCCCATCTGACTGGCAGTGAGACTGGGAGCTCTGCAACACTTTTTTTTTTAATAGCTTTAATGAGATATAATTCATATGCCATATAATTCACTCATTTACAGTGTACAATCTGGGGACTTTCAATATATTCAGTTGTGCGACCATCACCACAATCAATTGTAGAACATTTTCATTTCCCCAGAAAGAATCCCCCACTCCTTAGCTTTCAAGTCCTCATCTTCCCATCCCTCCACCAAAACACACACACAGCCCCAAGCAACCACTAGTCTACTTTCTGTCTCTATGGATTTGCCTATTCTGGACATTTCAGGTAAACAGAATCAAATGCTACGTGGTCCTCTGTGACTGGCTTCTTTCTCTTAGCACGACATTTCCAAGGTTCATCCGTGTTGTAGCATGGGTCAGTATTCAGTCCTTTTTTCACATTCTGCAACCCTTCTTGGGAGCAGCTGTTGGGGCAGAAGGATGACTCCCCGGCTCTCCACAGTCCTAGGATGCTTACTCAGACAATTGGGAGGGTAGCAGGGGAAGCGCTCTAGAGGCTGGAAATCTCTCCTGATCAGGAAGCATCATAGGACTGGGGACTGAACCCAGGCTTTGTCACTTGTCAGGGACAAATCGACATCTAGCTCTGCCACTTACCTGGTCAAAGTTCCTCATCTGTAAAAGGAGATGATGTTAGTGTTCTAAGGATTAGAATAATCCTTATGTAAATGGCCTAGGGAGAATCTGCTACATAATTGGTTTTCGAGGTGATAATCAGGGAAAGACGTCACTTGGTTTCATCAATTTCCTTTTCTGCTGTGAGTTACCACAGTAATTTTTTTAAGTGATACACCAGTTAATGTCTAAAAATCTCTCCTCGTGGAACATTCACCTGTAATAGTAATTTCAAGACGAGGCTCCTCCCATTCCCATGCCCAGGGTCCACTGCTATGGATAGAAAGGGAAGAAAGGGAAGAAAGGACAAATCAAACTGCCAAGAAGAGTTGGGGTGACGCTGGGAACCCCTGATGTGTCATCTCTGACTCCTCCCCAGGTGACTGCTTCCTGACAGTGAAGTCCCACAGGTTACAACTCTGACAAACACGCTATTTGACTCATAGAGACGGTTCAGTCACCACCACGGTGCTGACTATAAAAGAGAAAGGACAGTTAAGTCAGGCTGTGGTTCATGTTTCGTGGCTTCTCTGAAGTTCAGAACCCTTGAAGACAGATTTATCATTCTCTGCTAGATGTGGACAACCAATTACTGATTGAGCAGAGGGGGCCATGGTGGCGTTCACAGATACCTTGGAGAGGTAACATGCTAACTGGAAGGAACACAAGATTTGCATGATTTTATTTTGTGTTTTTGTGTTTTTTTGTTGTTTTTTTTTAGCTGTGGGGTCCAGAACCAGCTGCTTCCTTTTTGTTTAAGATTTTATCTAGTTATTTGACAGAGAGAGAGAGAGCGAGAGAGCACAAGCAGGGGGAGCAGCAGAGGGAGAGAGAGAGAAGCAGGCTCTCCACTGAGCAGGGAGCCCAATGTGGGGCTCGATCCCAGGACCCCGGGATCACGACCTGAGCCAAAGGCAGATGCTTAACCTACTGAGCCACCCAGGTGCCCCCAAGCTGCTTCCTTTTTAAGAAAAAAATTTGGTTTACTTTTAATTGTACAGATTCTAAATGCATACATTTGTATTTGTAAAAATACATCTAAAGGCAAAGTCTTCCACAGGCCCTATCCCTCCAACTCAGTACCCTCTCAAGAGGAAGGGTTTGCTAGACTTTCAGACATTTTTCTATCCATGTATGTATATCATCATCTAAATATATATATATTTATATTTATATAACATTTATATTTTATTTTATATATACGTATATATAAATATACCTGTATAATCTCTATCCATGTATGTATATAGTCATCTAAATATACATATATAATTTTGTTGCATGCATGGCATTAAATTGTGTATACTTCCCAGGCAGTTGGCTTATCTTACTTAGTAGTAAGCGTTGGAAGTCTTCCAATGTCAATCCAATCCATAAAGGGCTGCCTCATTTTTTAAACACTGCTCAATGACATCAATATTGCATAGCACGCAATACCAGGCTTACTCTGTGTGTTCTTGTGTTGATGACCTAGAGCCAGGCTGCAGTTTTTTACACTTACAAAATGTGTCTCAAAACAAACAAACAAACAAAAAAAACCCATCCTGCTACATGCTTCCTTGGGCACATAAGTGGTTCTCTATACTAACTACCAAGAAATGAAATTGCTGAATAAGGGGCGCCTGGGTGGCTCAGTCGTTAACCATCTGCCTTCAGCTCAGGTCATGATCCCAGGGTCCTGGGATCGAGCCCCGCATCGGGCTCCCTGCTCAGCGGGAAGCCTGCTTCTCCCTCTCCCACTCCCCCTGCTTGTGTTCCCTCTCTCGCTGTCGCTGTCTCTGTCAAATAAATCAATAAAATCTTTTTTAAATAAATAAATAAGAAATTGCTGAATAAGAGAGCATTCACATATTTTATTTTGATAGATACTCCAAAATGGGCGGGGACCTAAACAGAATAGTAGAAGGATGTGGTGATGAAGGGCCGGATTCCTGAATTCAAATCTTAGCTCTGCCACATCCTAGCTCACCTTTGCTCTATCGACGTTCTTCATCTGTAAAACTAAGATAATCGCAGTATCTACTTCATTTCATTGTTAGGAAAATGACGTGAGTACGTACAAAACTCTTCTAAATGGTAGAGTAAGAACTCTGTTAGCTGCTCTCAGGAGCTTTGGGTTTAACATCAGTAAAAGTACCCAAATATCTTCCTCTTAAATTAGAGAACAGGCCAGAGGTTGTAGGAGAATTCTTTGAATATCTAGAGCCCTCGACTGACGCCAAGTTTTCTTTCGGCCAATCTGCCCCGTTTAGATAGCCGGTGGTGTGGCTGCTCTCAGCAGGAAAGCTGTTGCCAGCTGATAGGGTCAGGGAAGCAATCTCAGCCCCGTGCAGAGAACGGGGAACCAGCTCCCCTGGAGCTGTCAGGAAAGCCAGCTGTCAGAGCGCTTTCTCGCTGGGGACAGGCGGGATTAGTTCTGATTACCCAGCCTAATCCAATGGCAATTGGGTGCCTGCATGTGCCATCTGAGTTACTACAGATTTGGACATCATGTTAGTTAGGGAAGAGTACCCTCCCCAAAGACGGGTCCTGGGAATTTGGGGAGGTGGATGGGGAGGAGGCAAACCAGGGGGGGGAGAGAAAATGAACATGTCTTGGGTACCTTCTATGTGTCAACCCCCAGGCTGGACGCTTCAAAGAGATTATCACATTTAATCCTCACAGCAAAACTACCAAGGTAGGTGTTCTTGCCCATTTCACAGATAATGACTTGAAAGCTTAAGGTAACTTTAAAAGCGTCGATGTAACAAACTTAGTTTCTCGCTGCCTGCAAGTGACAAGGTTGGGAAATGAGTCCAGGTTTGTTGGAGCTCAAGCACTGTTTTCTTTTTCTTTTCTTTTTTTTTTTAAGATTTTATTTATTTGACAGAGAGAGACACAGCGAGAGAGGGAACACAAGCAGGGGGAGGGGCAGAGGGAGAAGCAGGCTTCCCGCGGAGCAGGGAGCCCGATGCAGGACTCGATCCCAGGACCCTGGGATCATGACCTGAGCTGAAGGCAGTCGCTTAACCAACTGAGCCACCCAGGCGCCCCAAGCACTGTTTTCTTTCTTGGGTGTGATTTTAGGGTTGTGTGTGCGAAATAGAGGCAAGAAAAGAAGCCCATGAAAAGATGCTCAATATCATTAGTCATCATGGAAATTCAAATAAAAACCATAATGAATGAGATAGCATTTCACAACCACTGGAATGGTTATAACAGGATAGGCAGCCAAATGTGCGCAAAGATATAGAGAAAATCCTCAAGCATGGCTGGGGTGGGAATGTAAAACTGTACAGACACTTTGGAAGACCGTTTGGCAGTTCCTGAAAAAGTTAAACAGGAATTGAACAAAAGACTCAGAAATTCCATTCCTGGGCATCTACCCAAGAGAAATGAAAACATATATCCACCCAAAGACTTGCACACAAATATTCTTAACAGGAGTATTCATAATAACCTAAAATTGGAAATAACCTAAATGTGCACTGGAAACAACCTAAATGTCCAACAAGTGAATAGATAGACAAATGGGATGAAGCCATACCATAGAATACTTTGGAGCAATAAAAAGGAGCAAACTTGGATACACGGTACAATATGGATGAACCTCAAAAACATTCCAGTGAAAGAAGCCAGACGCAAGAGACCACATACTGTAAGATTCCATTTATATAAGATATTGAAAAGAAGCTATGGAGACCAAAAGTAGACTCATGGTCGCTGGAGGTGGAGGCAGTGGGGAAAAACACTGATTAATAATAAATGTACATGGAATTGCACTACTGGGCATTTACCCCAAAGATACAGATGTAGGGATCCGAAGGGGTACGTGCACCCCGATGTTTATAGCAGCAATGTCCACAACAGCCAAACTATGGAAAGAGCCTAGATATCCATCAACAGATGAATGGATAAAGAAGATGTGGTATATATATACAATGGAATATTATGCAACCATCAGGAAAATGAAATCTTGCCATTTGCAACGACATGGACGGAACTAGAGGGTATTATGCTAAGTGAAATAAGTCAATCAGAGAAAGACAAGTATCATATGATCTCACTGATATGAGGAAACTGAGAAACAAGACAGGATCATAGGGGAAGGGAGGGAAAAATGAAACAAGATGAAACCAGAGAGGGAGACAAACCATAAGAGACTCTTAATCTCAGGAAACAAACTGAGGGTTGCTGGAGTGAAGGGGGGTGGGAGGGATGGGGTGGCTGGGTGATGGATATTGGGGAGGGTATGTGCTATGGTGAGTGCTGTGAATTGTGTAAGACTGATGAACCACAGACCTGTACCCCTGAAACAAATAATACATTATATGTTAATTTTAAAAAAGGAAAAAAAAAAATGTGCATGGGAGAGCCTGGATGGCTCAGTCCATTAAGCACCCAACAGTTGATCTCAGCTGAGGTCTTGATCTCACAGTTTGGGCCCCGTGTTGGGCTCCATGCTGGGCGTGTAGTCTACTTAAAAAATATAATAATAATAATAATAATAATAATAATAATAATAACAACAATAATAAATGTGCATGAGGGATCTTTTTGGGGTGATGAAAGTGTTCTAAAACTAATCGATGGTGATGGTTGTACAACTTGATAAATTTACTAAAAACATCATTGAACTGAACACTTAGAGAAGGTGAATTATAGGGGTGTGGGGCGGGTGAGCAAAAAAGAAAAGGTAAATTCTATAATATGCAATATATGCCTCAATAAAGTTAATTTTTAAAATAGAACCAAGGAAATGTGTCCCAGAGGTTTGCTTATATGCTATACAAATTTTTCTAAAAACTGAGGTGAAGTTCACATAACAAAATTAATCATTTCAAAGTGAACAATCCAGCAGCGTTTAGTACATTCAAAATGTTGTGCAACCATCAACTCTGTCTAGTTCCAAATCAGTATCATTACCCCAAAAGGAAATCCCCTACTCCCTTTCCCCCTTGCCCCAGCAACCACCAGTCTGCATTCTGTCTCTATGGATTTACCTAGTCTGGATGTCTCATATAAATGAAATCATACAATAAAAAAAATAGAGGCAAGAAGGACACAAACATTTCGTAAGTACATACTGAGTTCATTGCAGCCTTACTTGTGATAGCAAAAGACTGCAAACAACCAAAATGTCTACCGGGAGGAATATGCTTATAGTTTATCTGTTAAATGGAATTTTCTATTTTTAACAGCAACAGGCATTATAAATGAATAAGGCAGTTCTGTGTGCATTGACCTGAAATAATCTCCAAGATACATTGCTCAAAAAAATAAAATACAGAAGAGAGTGTAGAGTATGCTATCGCTTGTATAGGCAAAAAAGAAGAATATTCTGATATGCTTATTTATACACATAATGATTCTAAAAACACACAAGAAACTGGTAATATGGTTGCCACTGGGCGGAGGCCCAAGTATCTAAGGAAAGGGGTGTGGGGAGCCTGTTAAGGACAGTGATTGTCTCTGCAGATCCTCTTGGATAATTTAAATTTATACATGTTACCTAATAAATACAATTTAACTTTTAAATATTAATAGCGAGCAACTCCGTGTGCCTGACAGTGTGCCTGGCATATCTGTGCTGACCACTGAGCTGTAGCTGCTGCTTGCTCTGCATTCAGAAGTTGCTCGAACTTTTCTGGCGGTAGAATAGTCTTTCCACTGGTAATCCTCGCTGCTATTTAAAATCTTGACAGTTTCCAATTCTTTAAGGGAGGGCTAAAAACAAAGAGCTCAAGGTTAAATGAAACATGTGAGAGAGTTTAGTACCTCCCTGATTTTACGATTAAAAATGCCCTGAAACAGGGAGCTCAAGTGACTTTTCCAAGGTCACACTGCTTGTTAGCAGCAGAGTCCACGATTCTTGATTGTGATTTTCAACTTACTCTCTGTTGAGAGGATATAATCCTCTGCCGGGCTTATTCTGGTCCTTTCTCAGGGTAAAGACAGGGTAGAAAGGAAAGATCATGATGCTACCAACATACAGAGCATGACAGTGTTGTTAATGAGACCAACTGCCATGGATTAACCGGTTAACATCACTTTGGTTTGAGGTTGAATGTGGTGGGCTGAAGGCCGTGTCCCATCCAGGCATGTGTCATTAGAGTCCTCACTGTGTTGTGAAGAAACCCTCTCTCTGGTTCCTCCTCCTCTTGTCCTCTGCTTTCTCCTAGGCTCTCTGTGTCCCTCTTTGGAGAGTATCTATTTTAAAATTGGACCAAGAGGTGTGCAATTTCAGGCATCTGCAGATAGGGGAGCCTCCGGAAAGAGTTATCTTCCCTTCTGTCCCCTCCCTGCCTGGGACGGGGAAGGGGTGCTGTGGGGAGTGCCAGCGTCACCTCGGCCACCTTCCTCCACCATCCTTCCCCCAGCCAGTCAGACGGTCTCAGGAGAAAACTGTGTGTTTTGGCCTCCACTTGCCTTGTTTTCTGAAGAATTATTTTTATCGTTCATTATCGAATTGATTTTAGTAAAGTGTGCCTTAGAGATAAGGAGCATCACCCCCAAGGAAAGCAGGGGAGTAGTCCTGCATCCGTGGAGTTCGTTGCCTTCAAACACAGGACTCTTCTGTGGGAGATTCTTTTCATTTGTTTGGGCTGGAGTTTGAAGCAGGCCCATCCTAAACCCTGTAAAGTATCCACACTGCCCACGACTAACCTCGTGACTAAGGGAAGAGATGGTTTGACTTTAGAGTATATCCCAAACCTCCTAGACTGGCCATTTCCCTTGTCCTCCTAACTGCATTCCCCTATGCCTCTCCCATCACTCAGCCTGGGGACCAACGTGCGGAACCTCACCCTTCCTGCTTCATGAGCCCTGATTGGTCCAAATTGGTCAAGTACTCTTGCTCAGTGATTGGCTTATAACCTACCTCTAAGCCAGTCAGCACGCGGCTCTCTCCAGAGAGTGGTTCAGGGGTGATCCAATCAGTGCAAAGCTTAGGTCTTTCACTGCGTCCTGTAAACAGGAAGAAGAACGCGTGCGGAGCCCAGGGGAGGGTACCATTTGAGACTGTGGAAAGCCAGCCCGAGGTTGAAATCAAAGCTCAGAGAAGAGCAGAGTCTCCAGAAATGCAGAGAACCAGAACCGGGGTCCGGACCGAACTCCTGGACTTTTCAGTTGTGTGAGCAGTACATCCCCACTGTTGCTGTTGCTTAAGCTAGTCTGAGTCGATTTTTGATTGTTCCTTCTCGAAAGCATACCAAAGCATCCATAGCTTCCCCTCCCTGGCCCATGGTGCCTGAAATTCCTACCACTGGCCCTCCATTCCACATCTCCGTGTCGTACGTGCCTTCGCCAAGCTACAGGCAGAAGGGAAGGATTTAGGATTAGAGAGCTTAATCAAAGAATGCTTCTCCAAGAAAGTTGTGGGGATGCCTAACATAACCGAATTTCTGAGCTCCATTTGTATTTGCCTCCCGTCTCTTTCTGCCCTTTGTGTTTTGTTTTGCTTTTTGTTGTTTACACAGAAAGAACACCTTCCATCTGGTTGTGTTCAGTCCCACCACTTTTCAAACCCCAGCTCAAGTGTTGCTAGTTTGTCCTTGAAGTCTCCCCTGAGAGCCTCAGCTAGAAAAAAACAGCCCCCTCCCAAAGTGTGGACCGCTTACCTCAGTGTGCCCCGCCCACACTCAGTATCCCCCCACAGACACACTCCACTGTGACATGTTTGCCTGCAAGACAACTCCTGGGTTTATCTTTTGTATTTACCCCAACTCCAGCGTATTGTGGCCGGGCCTTCCACATCTCTTGAGAAGGAGGCAAGTTTAGTGATAGAAAAGAATAGGTTTTCCTCAGGAATTACAGGCCAAAGAAAGGGCTAAAGCAATGGTTCTCAGGTGTGGGTCCCTGGACCACACCATCAGCATCACCTGGGGACTTTTCAGAAATGCAAAATCTTCGGAACTTCAGAACCAGAAACTCTGGGGGCGGGACCTAGTAGCCTGCGTTTTAACAAGCTCTCTGGATTCTGTTGCACTTTAAAGTTTGAGAACCACTGGACTAGAGGAAAATCTTAAACTACTGACTGAGGAGCAAATGAGCCTGGTTATCCAAGAGCAGGATTGAAGACCAAGCAAAGATCAACGTGAGTTGTGGGTCTTTTTCTCTCATGTAGGTTGGGCATTTATTCTTTCCTTTTTGCCAACCCTAAGATGACATGTTTACTTTCTCCCAAGTTGCTTTACATTTCTGAATTTCTAGATTTCCTTTTTGGCAGAATTAAACCCAAAATAACAGGGTTCCTTGTGGATCTGTCAGTAGCTCAAGCAAAGAATTTATCAAGCTACTCTGATGTGTCTGGGCAAAAGCTGTGGTGTAGCTCAGTAAAGACAGTGCAATAATAAAGATGTGGATAACATTCTTTGGAGCTGTTCCATGAGGCCTGCTTGTGACCCTTGTCTGCTCCGTCCCTCTGTGCCTGACTCGCCCTCACTCCAGAACAAGGAAGCATCCTGTTCATTATGCACGTTCATCGCTGACCTCGAAATTCCAGCCATGGCTCCTGAAATGCACCCCCCCAGCTACTGTCTCCACTCAGCCCCCATGGCTAGCTCATTTCAGAGTGTTTTCACATGCCCTCACTCCACTCTGTCTCTGTCCAAGCAAAAAGGGATCAGTGAAAGGCGCAGCTAGAATCTTTGAGAAAAGACTGGACTTGTGCCTTAATTTTCGTAATAATCACAGAGATATCACCTTGTATGCAGAGATTTAACTTTACCCTCCATTCCTATGAATTATGAGAACTCATATTTCAATATGGTACTGATATATGCTAAAAAGTATCAGATCCGATGATGTTGAGAAATCTCTACCTCTCCTTTTAGATAATAAATATACCATCAACCATGTTCAAACAGAAAATAGTTTTTCTTATTTATTGCAGATGCCTCCAAAATATAATCCTTTTTTGTTTTGCTCTCAAACACACTGTTTTTAAGTACAGAAAGTTCCTCAAAAAATCTAATTTCCTATGTTATTTTTGTTTAATCGTGGCACCAATGTCAAATATGTGCCACTTCCACTATAATAGTTTGTATTATGAAAGCATTCGGAAGTTTTAGCAAAAAAAAAAGAGTTTTTTTAATTAACCAAGGAGAAGAACAACTTTGGGGAGAAGCTAGGATGTCACAGATACTTAGGTATATTTACTCATGTCCCCATTACTCCTGTCAGAGTGGATGTTGCTACCTTCGTTTTATAGATGAGAACCCTGGAGTTCAGACAAGCTGGAAAACTGTGCTAGAGTCAGGATGTGATTGGAAATCTGACTCCAGAGCCTGGACTTTACTCAGCACCGCCTGCCCCGCCACACACACACCTCTACCCAGATTAGAACATCCACTGCTTCCTCCTTGCATAGGCTGATATCTACATGAAGGTGTGCACGGGGCACTTAAAAACCAGTTAGATCGGGGGAGGGTGGTTTTTGCAGGTGACAAAAACAGGAATTCCACCCCACCTAAAAGTCTTCCCCAAACTGAATGTTTTGCAAAAACTTCAAAAGGACAGTGTAATTTGGCACCAGATTTGTTTTAATTTGTTTTAAGTCCTGATTTCCAAGATCTGAGCATGCTTATCGACCCTCAGTGCCCGCTAATACAGAATTTGTTAATTTGTTGATTCAGAAGGTCACTCACAACATCCTGGATTTTGATTCAGAAGCCTCACAGCAAAGCAGCTCATTCAATTTACCCTTAGCTGGTACGCTGTAAAGAAACATGTCTGTAACTGAAACCCTTAATCAGTGGTTTTTAAGTTTAGATGTGTTCATCCAAATGCAATGTGACAGTGATGCCATTTTATCGATGGATTTTTTTGATTGACTTTTTGCCTTAGATTTTTAAAGACTCTGTTTAACAATTGGAGTACAAGATCATGCCTGTAGTTAACAATACTGTATTGTACACTTTAAAATTCATCAGGAGGGTAGATGTCATGTTAAATGTTCTTACCTCAGTTTTTTCTTTTTTTTTTTTTAAAGGGAAAGGAGAGGAAAGCAAATCTATTTAATGACTTGATGAATGTCTGCATCAGCCATTTTGAAATGCCTGATAGCTTTTCAGCAATTTGCATTCCGGGTGTCATTCTGTGTCCACCCAGAAAGTGGGGATTTTCAATCACTCATATAATCCAAGAAATAACTTTTGACTAAAATCCTCAAGCACTTCAGGCAAAAGGATCTGGGGCCTGAGTTACCTGGATAATTACTTCAGTTTTTCATTTTACATTGCAAAGCCTTTGCAGATCACTCCTTCAAGTCATCCTATGTGTTTGTTTTCTCTAAGTGTTGAGATAGCCCTGATGTGAGTCAATTTTAAGTATTTAAACAGACATGAAAAAGAATCATTTCCCAAAAAGGGTCTGAATGGACTTAAACTACAAATGATAATTTGGCCACTTTAAAACCCTAGATAGCCAAATATGCCAGACAACCCCTACTTGTTCCCTTCTGTTCCATTTCATAAGGAAACCATCGGCTTTGTTCCTTATTGCAGAAAATGCAAACAACTACATATTTAAAGCACAGCCATTCCTTATGTAAAAACCAAAGTCTAGATACTTACTTTTCAATACCTTTTGTCCAAGAGACATGATAGGAGGGCTGGCTCGGCTGTGGGCTCCCCAGGCTGTGTGGGAGGAATTGATTGGGTGTCCCTGCTCCTGGGACTGGGGATTCAGAGGAGTTACAGGGTTCAGGGTCTTTTCCACGTTCGAGTCAAAGTACAGTTGGGTCTGTTTCCAGAAAAGCTCCTATCTTCCTAAGAGGGAAAATTCCGTGCCCAGAGAAGTTCTGGAAGAAGACATTTTCCCCCTTGCACTTGAATGAACTAGGTCATTGCTGAAGCTGGATAATATTTTTGAGCATCACTGTGATGAAACTTGAGGGCTGTTTCTGCAGGAGGTGTGACACTTGACGAGGCCGCCAGGGAGGCCCTGGCAGAGGGGCCTGGTGAAATGCAGCTCCAGTGAGCTGACGAAACGCAGACGAGCTGTCCCTGAAGTAGTGGCTTCCCTCTCAGAAAAGCAGAATCTTGCTGTCTGATAAAGACCCTGAGGCGGAGTAACACCAGCAGGTCTCATACCAAGAATACCAGGCACTGAAGTACACATAGGAAACCCGTGGAGGGGGCGGAGGGGGCGAAGGGGGTGGAGGGGAGGTGAAAAGAAGAGGCACTATGTTGTTCGTTTAGAATTGGCATTACAGTTCTCTGAAGTTCTCTGAGAAACGCAGAAGCCACAGCAGGGCAAGATCCACCCTCCTCCCTCCTCCCTCCTCCTGTCGCGGTCCTCCCACCACACCCCTCCCTCCCTCTCTCTCTCTCTCAGTCTCTCTCTCTCTCTCTCTCTCTCTCTCACACACACACACACACACACACACGCACATTCTCTCTCTTCCTATTTTGGCTATTGTAGTAAGAAGAGAAGAGAGAAAGAACACAAGAAAACCATAGAGAAATACCACAAATCCATCAAACTGTCAAGAATTGTTCGTGTTACATACCAAAGTAGAATTTGTCAGGCGGGCATTTCTTTGATTGAACTTTGTCCAAATCCAAGACAGAAGATAAAAAATCCTGAAGTATTCTTCTGTAACTACTTGGCCTCTCTGGAAAAGTGTGTGCCACACCTGGAAACGGACAGCTTGGAAAGAAACTTCTTAGGACACTCACAGAGATGGCTAAAATTAGCAGCTCTGAGTGGGTGACTTTGAAAGGGACATACTGGATATATTCACTCTGTCCTGGGCAGTATAATCCTCAAAAGCAGATTGTTCTTACATAGCGCAGTGTGTGCATCACTACACCTGGATGGAATGACATTTTCCACAAGATGAAAAGTCATCATCTAAAATTATTAAATATCAAGAAGTGTACGGTTGATGGGTTCTGTTTCTCAGTTTTATCTTCATGTGAGAAGAAAGATATTGAAAGCCGAGAGACTCTAAAATAATGACTGTCTCTTTGGGAACACATCTATGAAATGCAACCGGATGCAGAAATTACCACCCCTTGGTGACGGCAGGCATCAGCTGGTTTTATTTAGAGCTGGATCCTCTTCATAGAGGCTCTTTCCAAGTAAAAGGAGAGAACGTTGTTAAGAGAGCCGATAAGAGGAAGGTGTGATGATAAAAAATAAACAAAAGTTATCACACAACAGCAAGATAGGATAAAGACAAAAAGGAATCAACATCCCAGTGCAGTAGACAGACGTATATGGTCATGAAAGAATTGCTGCCTGGGAGTTCTTAAATGGAAAAGTTGACACTCATTATGAAACTTGCTTTTGTTCCCAACAGTCTGAAAGATGGACTCCCTCAGCGCCTAGCATTCTTCTAGTAAAATAAATTTAAGGAGCAGAGGATTAAAAAATATATATATATTTATGTTTATATATATTATATATATAGTAGGCTTGCCTATATATGTTTTATTGTTCATCTCATTAACCTGCAGCCATAGAATATCTGTTTTAAGCTTAGGTTTGGGGAGCAGGAATAGAAGACAATCAGAAACAGACCTTGGGATTAAACTCAATGAGGCCAGGACACTGTTCTGAATTTTCTGTGATTATTCAAAGGAGGGGATGGAAGGTTTAAGGTGTTGAAGAGAAAAAGGAGGGCATATATTTGTGCCCTTTCAAAAGCATCAAAAAATACCAGAGTTTGTGATTAAAAATGAAGACCTAAAGATGTGTAGCACCATTTCAGGTAAAGTAGTATGGCATAAAAGAAAATAGGTGTAAGTTATCTCTTTTTCTGAAGCTAGAGGAGGATAAACAAAGCCCTCCCTCTGTAAGGGGATTGTCCATCCACAGAGCAGAGTTGGAAATGTATTTTTTATCAGATGTCTTTTAATTGCTTCTCTCAAAGGCCTCTGGGGCTTTGTTATTTTCTTGGCTTCTCAAATGAACAGGTGCCTCACATTTCCTTGGCTACAGTAGGCTTGCTGGGGACCAGATCTAGTCAGTTCCCAACTAATCTGAATATTTAAAGCCAATTCATTAGGTTTGCAAGCTGCTTTTCATTCCCATAAATTGGGCTTGAATTGGTACGTGAGGAGTTTATCTGCTCATTTTATCCTTCCTGGCAGAGAAGGCCCTCAAATGTTTGTGTCTAATGGTAGGAGTGATGAATGCCCTTTCCAGCAGAGCACATTCTTGGCGGAGGCTCGGTACCAGTCACATGTCAGGTCAGATCCGATTTTCTGCCAGGGTCCTTGGGCCAAGCTGGAGCTGAGGCAGCCACTCCAACTTCAGGGCACAGTCAACGTTTGTGAGAGTCCCCCACTACTGACAGCGTCAGCTCGGGTTCCCTCTCTCAGCAGTCCATCCCTACGCAGGGTCCAGGGGTTCTGATAGTTTCTGCACTGTGTCTGGCATCTTGCTCAGAGGACACGACCTGAATCCAACTCTTGCAACCTTCATTCAGTTCCCCGTATTGCCAATCAGGTAGGTCAACTTAACAGGCATTTTGATCCCTTAAGTACAGTGGCAACAGAAAGATCAATGTAAATAGGACTGTGTTCTCTCATGATGTTTTTCATACCAGGTAGCAGATAAAATTCTTCATTAGAATATGAAGTTTAAAAAATATTTGCAAAAGGGACACCTGGCTGTCTCAATCAGTGGAGCGTGCAACTCTTGATGGGTGTAGAGATTACTTAAAAATAAAATCTTTATAAAAAATACTTGCAAAATAATTTTTAAAATGCAATTTTCTCAGAATTCATATATCCAAAAGGGGCTTTTCCAAATATATGAATGTTGTTTGGAAGTTAGATTTCCTTTTCTCCCCGAGTCTCAAAATAATAAATGGGTTACAGAACACCTTACAGAAGTATTTAATCCATCATGTTCCCAAAGTACCGTATTTCAGCTTCCTAAAACCACAAGGATCAAAACTAGGTTAAAATTCAATTTAACTATATATGTAAGTCTAAATATCTGCAAAAAAATATCCAGACTTCAACTTCCAAGATAAAATTTTGGCACAGTTTTAGTTTCATTTTAAAAACAGACATTAAAAAAAAAAAGTATTACAACTCCTCAGAACAGGAGCAAAATTCCAATTTTCATAAATTTGTATGCTAAACCCTTAGACAATTACTAAGTAAAATTAATTAGTTGAACAGTGCATAGAAATTTAAATTCTAAAAAATATTTGTGTATGCTGTTTATACTATTCTATAAAATTTTCCTTTTTAAGACTTTACTTCTGATTCTAAGAGCAATATAAACTCTTCACTGAAAATCTTTGATATTTTGATTTTGAAATCTCCCACTATCCAGAGATAGCCACCATCCTGACATATTTCCTTCAGTCTCTTTTATTTTCCCTTTCTGGGTGATTGTACATTCAGAAAGTGACATTAATGGGTGAAAAGTATGAAAATTTTAAGGTTTTTGAAACATATCGTCAAATAAAATGCTAGCAGTTGTATTGTATTACATTTCCACCAGCAGGTCTGAGCCCACCCATCTCACTGAGAGGACAATGTCTGGCACTAAGCACATCGCTGAAAATATCTGGTAATCTAAGAAGCAAAACTGATATTTTAATGTACATTTCTTTGATTACTAATAAGGCTCAATATTGTTTCATGTGTTCATTGGCCCTTTTTCTTTTACAGATTGTCTCTTTAATTTTTTTTGTCAACTTTGAGTATTTTCCTTTGGCACATATAAAAGCCTTTCGTATGTAATTTGCTAGATATGGGCCCTATCTTCCAATTTATGGTTTGACCTTTTATTTGTGAAGTTCCGATATACAGAAGTTATGAATTTTTATTTACTAAAAACAATCTCGGGGTGAGGAAGGAAGGAGGAATTGTTTAATGAGTTCTGAGTTTCAGTCTTGCAAGATGAAGAGTTCTGAAGTTCCGTTTCACAACAATGTGAGTATACTTAACACTGCTGAGATGCACACTTAGAAATGGCAAATGTTGTTATTTTTTAAATGACAACAAAAAAGAAAACTA